AGAATGTCTAACTGTATGCAAAAGAGATCAATTCAAGTTAGAACCCCATTTCAAAAGGCTTGACTGGACAGAGGAAAATTTTAAATAACACCTCAGGCATACAATAGTAAACAGATTATGGGATACTTCAAAGAACAAATAACCTGGTTTCTTCAACAGAAAAGTAATGCAAAAAATAAAGATGAAGGGGAGCTTATAAGTCAAAAGAAACTTCAGATGTATTAAAGAGTTCTATGTATGAACCTTGTTTAGATGTTGATTTGAAACAAACTTTAAAATGTGACAATATCAGAAATATAAATACTGTTATTTTAAGGAAATATGTTAACAATATTTTAAGGGAATGTGCAGAAAAAACTAACATAGAAGGCTTGAGGCCATCGCCCTTAAAAAGGCCTAATTGCAAGGTTGACCCTTGGTTGGTGTCTATGGACATGGATCTGGAAGGGGGCTACCATTTCCAGGACTCACATAAATGGGTCACTGTGATTAAATTGTGCAAACAGTGTGGGTTTTGCTGAACACTGGCTTTCCTTCTGTGTGTCTAGGAAATTGGTCTGTGCTAGGCAGAGGATGCTGCCAATAAAAATCCTGGGCACTGAGTGTCTAATAATAAGTTTCCCTGGTAGACAACTTTTAGCAGAGCACGGTGGCTTAGGCCTGTAATCCCATCACTTGGGGAGTCCCTGACAGGAGGATTGCTTGAGGCCAGGAGTTTGAAACGTTTTACACATATCATTACAGGTCATTGTTTACGGACTGAGCACATTCTGTGTGACTCCACTGAGAGAGAGCTCTTGGAAGCTTGTGTCTGGTTTCCTCTGGACTTTACCCAGTGCTCCCTTTCCCTTTGTTGATTTTGCATTTTATCTTTTCATTGTAATCAATCATAGCCATGAGTATATTTGCTGAGTCCTGTGTGTCAATGTAGTAAACCATAAAACCTGTGGGTGTTCTTGGGGACCTCGGATGCAGGAGTAATATGAGTATAGTGGGTGTTTTTTTTTAAGACTCATTTTTTAGAGTTACATATTAAAATTTTTAGGATAATGTCTGGGACATTTTCTTCAAAATAATCTAGGAAGTGGAAAGAATATATATTTGTATGAATTAAATAAGGTCAGCTACGTATGGATGGGAGGTTCTTTATACTATCCTTTAAACTTTCATGTATGTTTGAAATTTTCGTAATTAAAACTACAATAAAAGAAAATCCAGTTGCTTTCCTATAACTTAAAATGTACATTCTTCTTAAAGTTTAGTGCTATTTTGCTCAACAATTTCTTCAACATTCACTGTAGGAGTACAGAAAATTAACATTCATTGAGGTGGGTGATTTTTAATTATCTTGCTTCAGTCTCTTGCAAAACAACATGTCAGGAAAATATTATAACAATTTTTTTTTTAACATTAACTGGCTTGGTTTAATCAGTCTACGGTATATACATTTATCAAGACATCACATTATACCCCATGAAAGTGTACAATTATTATTTGTTGATTTAAAATGATATTAATTTAACAAAATACTTAAAGGAATGAATTCAGAAGAAAGTGAGACTCAGAAAGGTAATTAGTAAATGACAGAGCAGGGACTCCAAAAGAAGAATAAATGCAGATACAAACTAATCAATGTTTTGAAAGATTGTATCTGGAGTTGGACTTGGGATTCTTTCTTGGCTCTATAATTTACCCCTGTGTGTTACTTCATCTCTGTTTAAAAAGGTGTGTGGGGGCGGGAGGGGCAATAATAATAGTCCTACTTTACAGGGTTGTGGAAAGAACTAATGGGATAACATATTTAAGACATGTAGTTCCTGGCACATAAGAGCTCAGTATAAGTCAGCTATATACCCCCATCCCTGAAACAGCAAAAACAATAACAACCTTGGACTCAGACAGTATAAATTATTTAGAATTATTTGAGGGACGAGGACACCAAGGAATACTTTTTCCGTGGATACTATGAAAACACAGGAATTCTGAGTTCATTTATAACTATGGACAAAGATACTGATTTGATTTTCAATGAAATTATGAGCAGTCAAGCGCAGGAGAGAGGAGAAAAGTAAATATACACACACCCATTTATGCTCAATGGTTGAAATCCAAAGTGCCTAGATATTCCATAGTGATACTAAGTACTCCAGTTACTGCTACCTGTACTTCTATAGCAGTAAGTCCTGCCCCAAATGCAAAAACTTGGTTTACATACAGGAAACTGGTATCTGGCAGAGTTGAAACAGGAGAAAGATGAACAGCCTTGAAGGAAGTTAGCTTTACATTCAACTGCTTTGAGTTGGCAACCGCTTTGGAAACATCATATAACTCACTCTGCAACCCTGTGTATAGAAAGATATAATTTAATATGTGGGCATTTTAGTTGAAAAAGCAGACAGTAAATTTGTTGCAGTAATTTTATACTGAGAATCATCAATACCAGTAGTTCGCCACCTTGTATTATCCTAACCAGTATATATTTACATCTAATTTATTACAGCTATTGTCTAAGTTTCAAATTTTTGTAGGAGTTTCAAATTCCCCTGATATTGCCCATTGGGACCACTCATCATGATCTTCATAGAAACTTATGATAGGAATATCTCATGGGACTTTAGAATTTCTTGGGAGAATATTGATTCTTTGGACTCTCAGACTAACCTTAAGCTCCACGAAATAAAGGATGACATTTTAGAGCTCTAAAAGTCTATGAAGTATACAAGAGCTTAGATTTGTTGGGCATGGCAAACCAACTTCAAAGACTCTCTTTCAGTCTGTTACACCTCGCCATTACAGAACGCAAGGTGTAAACTCAGTGTTGGTGAGATTTACCCTGAACTTACCTCACCCAGATTCCATTTGTCATAGTTATTTGATAAATCTTGATTCAGTAGGTGTTGCATATATATAAGGTGCTATGCTAGACAATGTTCATAGTGGTACACAAAAATGGTATGGTCTCTGTTCTTTATTTAGAAACAGGGTCTTGCTCTCTTGTCCGGGTTAGAGTGCAGTGGCATGATCATAGCTTACTATAACCATGAACTCCTGGGCTCAAATGATCCCCCTCCCTCAGCCTCCTGAGTGCGTGCCACCGCTTGGCTGATTTATTTTTTAAGTTTTTGTTTTGTTTTGTTTTGTTTTTATAGAGTTGGGGTCTCCATATATGCCCAGGCTGGTCTCAAACTCCTGGCCTCAAGACATCCCCCTGTCTTGGTCTCCCAAAGCGCTTGGATTACAGGCATAATCCACCATGCCTGGCCCTTCCTGGTCTTTGTTCTTAGAGAGCTTATAGTATGATTCCTTTCTCCACCTTTTCAAATCCCCATCTACTCCGTCCTTTCCAGTCTGTGTCCTGATGGATTGAATTCTCTGCAAACTGACTTTCCCTCTTCCCATGACTAATGGCTTATTTCCTCCCCTCTGGTAAGGTTCTTCAGTGTGCACCTGGGACTTCTTGAAGAATGCTTGAGTGGGAAGGCGTATTGAACACAGTGTTGTATCTGAGCCTTGACTCCTCCCTCAGGGAGTTAAGCCTCAGAAAAGATAAGTAGGCTTTTGAGTTAATGTTATTAAAATTATAGATGCTGTGGCTAGTATCTCATATTATAACACTGAATTTCATCTAAGTAATTCAAAAGACTGTGAGAAAAAAGGAGGCAGTGCCTACTTTTTAAGTGTGTGTTCTTAAACAGAGTATAGTTTAATTTTGGTCTCAAATTTTTTAATCTACAAGTTTTCCTTCAATCCCTACCCCCACTCTCTGATTCTTTCATTTTATTTGTTGAAAAAACCCAGGAGTTTACTGTGCGGTTTTCACAATCTTGGATTTTGTTGATTACCTCTTCATGGTGTTCTTGATCATGTCCTTTTGTCTTCTTTACAAGTTACGACTTTTAACAAATGATTTTCTCCTTTCCCACAAGTGAAAGGAACTTCCACATCTTGCTCTGCCCCTTTCTACCTACCTTCTTATGAGAAGAGCGGCTAAGTGGATAAGCCACAATTCAGGACATTTATTAGACTTCTTACCAATAAGCAGGCTTCTGAAACTCTCACGTTAGTACACACGTAGATAATCTTTTTCACATCAGTGCAAGGTTAGCTTACTAATCAGTAGTGAGCAGAAGACCCTGGCCTGTGTGGGTAGCCGTATACTTTTTCACTTCCTGCCTTCATATGGCAAACTAAAGGGGTTTAGCTACTCTGGGTAGCTTGTTGGGTTAAACATGATTTAATATTGTTCATTAATGGCTCTCAGATTAAAAATGACAAAGGCATTCCTATGCAGGATGTGTCATTCCTCTGGACATCAAGTCCTGAAGCAGCTCCACCACCTAATGCTTGATCTACCCAGTAATCAAACTAGTATCTATGACTGGAGCCTGCACTGTGGCAAATATTGATCATGTATATGGCCAGTAGGTAGGCTTTTGGAATTGTGTTATGGAAACAGAGAGGATTTATGACCTTTTTGGGTACTCCAATTAAGAATAGTGAACATACCAATGACTTCTTGGAAAGTATTCAGTATTCCAAGAACATTACAGCTATTACCACAGAAGTCTGTAGTCAAAAGACCTCAGGAGAAGCCAAGGGTAATGTCCAGGCTGATTTACGTGCTAAATGAGGGACGTTTACTACTCTGGCTATATTAGGTGATACTAATTCACATTTGTCCCCACCAAACCTTCAGAAAGAATGATTGAGTCAATTTAGATGACTATAACTTACTCACATCTATCAGCTCAGCCTTCTGAAAAGGATATTGGAAATTATATACCTTTTTTCTACATAATGATGGGTTGAGGTGATTTAGTGATAATAGGCCTATAGCACCAAGATCCATCCAATTACTACCATGATTTTTCACACCAATGAGGACATTTATTCATTTCTATGTTAAAGTAATACTGGTCAGAACATTTTTTTCTAAATTGGCTATGGAAGTGATAGAATCATGTCTCATTTCTAACCAGCGCAACTGGGGCAAATCTGTAAAGGTGAGAGATAGTTTAGAGTTTCCTGCATAAGGTCTTTTTGTACATTTATGAATACATTTTGTACGACATCTGATGTCTTTGGGTTATGATCATGTGTTAGTCTTTATTTGTAAATTTTCCGGGTGGATAGAAGCTTTTCCTTATTGGAGGGCCTCAGCTTTCTATAGGTGAAAAAAAATTACTAGACTTTGTATTTCCAATATGAAGTTCCCTACTTTCCTGTTAAATGATCAAGGCACTCATTTCACTGGAACAATCATAAACAACAACTTTATTGCCTGTGCCAACACCTAATCATTATGAAAAGTTGGATGAGTAAGTGTACACTGAAGCGGAAACTATTCATCTAAACTATCAGAAACCCTTAATCTTCTCTCCTGGCATGAAGTTCTGCCCCAAGCCCTGATGGCCATGCCGTTATCTCCTCACAGCTCATATAAACTCTTTCTGTATAAAATCACTTTAGCAGCTTAGTCAATAGGGTGAGACGCTGTCTCAACAAAAACAAACAAAAAAGGGCCCTGTGTGGTGGTGCCACCTGTAGTCCCAGCTACTCAGGAAGCTGAGGAGACAGGATCCTTGAGCCCAGGAGTTCAAGGCTGCAGTGAGCTATGCTCCTACCACTGCATCCAGCCTGGGTTGCAGAGCAAGACCTTGACTCAGAAAAAACAAAACAAAACAGTCATTTGAGGGCATTGTATGCAGATCAATTGATTATTTCTTTCCAGAATCATCTGCTTCAGAAAAAATAAAAGGCCTACCTATTGGCTGAGACCTAAATTATAGTTATTTTAAAAGGTGTGATAGAAAATTATTAAAACCAATAAGGAAAAATATTCTCTGATTCTCACTGATATCCATCTATATTACAATAATAGTAGAAAATATATGTCACCTAAGAACAGCTCCATTTAAATGGTCTCTTTTTACCCCGAAGGCCATGCATGCCTCATTAGAAGTGACAAATAAGTGTTCTTACAACACTAGAATATAGAAATGGTAAATGCATAAAATGGATGTGTATGTATTTATACATATATGTGTATATATATAATCTACATATTTTCATATATATGAAATATCTATATCTATCTGGATATATGCTAAGGAGGAAAAAAATGACTGCATAATATAAGTCTTGCACTTGACCTCACCTTGTATTTGAAAAACTTGGTTCCAGTTAAAAACATCACATTCTTCCAATAGCTGTCGATAAGCCCTGACATCCTTGTAGAACACAGCATAGGCATTAGTATAATGATCAAGGTTATCTGTCTCAGCCTAGGACAGAAGACATTACATATATATATTACATATATAAATATATATATACATATATAAATATTTAACTCTTTTATATTTAATTTTATATGTAATTCTTGGATTTACCTCCAAGAATTACAACTCTCAGAATCTTCCTAATGTGGTCAGGATGGTACCTCTTTGGCCATATGAGCTTCTCCTTGGTCTCAGGAGAAGAATAGGGCAGATGTTGTCTTCACTCTTCTTCCAAATACCCACATGACCAAAGTCACCAGTCATAAGCAACCATTCACCCAGGGAAAAAGCTAGTATCTATAAGTCAACCATTTGTGCTTCATCCTTCTAGAGATCATGAAACACTAAGGAACCACGTTATTGAACATGTTTGGACTAGAGGTTTTTCAAGTTCCTGATACTCTGAAGCCAGTCAAATTAGAATTTAATGCTGAGGCTGGGCATAGTGGCAGTTCATGCCTGTAATCCCAGCACTTTGGGAGCCGGAGGCAGACCGATCACCTGAGGTCAGGAGTTCGAGATCAGTCTGGCCAACATGGTGAAATCCCATCTCGACTAAAGTGTCTACTAAAAATACAAAAATTAGCCAGGCATGGTAGTGGGTGCCTATAAGCCCAACTACTCAGGAGGCGGAGGCAGGAGAATCAGTTGAACATGGGAAGTGGAGATTGCAGTGAGCTGAGATCACACCACCGCACTCCAGTCTGGGTGACAGAATGAGACTCTGAGAAAGAAAAGAAAAGAAAGTTGGAGAAAGAAAGGGAAAGAAAGAGAAAGAAAGAAAGGAGGGAGGGAGGGAAGGAAGGAAGGGAAAGAAAGAAAAGAAATGAATGGTGAAACAGGTAGTGTTGTAAGCTAATGTATATGGCTACTGTGGTTATAAAATACCATTACCTATTTTTTCTCTCCAATTCTTACTATTTTTAAATTTTTTACCTTTCAAAACTATACCTCTCTTTGTCGTCGGGTGATAACAGCTTTGAAATCCGGCCATGAATCCAACACCACTTCCTTTTGAAAGGGGTTCCCACGATTTATGTTCATCACCGCTCCATAAACCTGAGTCAGATAACCCAGAGAGACAAGCCAATCATACTATTAGCTGTTTCAGTCACATATTATCTTCTTTACCTCTTGTTCTACTGTGTACTCATGTCCATGAGAGGGGAAATTATAAACATATATGCATACATTCAGACACATGATAGACACACATTAATTTTTCTGTTGCTATTTTATCAGTGCACATGAAAACTGGTAAAAGGTCTATGAAATCCTATAAAAACTCTTTCCAAACCTAGTTTTTTATAGGGTAGCAGTGAGAGGTACCAAATTCATAGGCTTACTAGGTGGGTACTTGGCACATAGGTCAGCAGTAAATACTTGCTGAATGAATCAGGATAACATATGCACTTAGGGTCCATGCATATTTAAAAATTTCCGCAAATAATTTTGATGCTCAGCTGCTTTTCAAGCCCACTATAGTATTTGAAAATAACCTGTGAAATGCAACTCCTTCTTCAACCCTAAATTACAATTAGACATCATTAGAGGGTGACACCAGCTCAAATTAAAACAAACAAACAAACAAACAAAACTGCACTTTAGATTTGATGGAGCCAAGCTCTAAATGATGTCTCAATTCATTATTATGTCCATGGAGCCTGACATAGATGATTGAATGCTTGGTGACTCAACCAAAGTAGAACAATATTAGAATTCTTTCTGTGGCCTTTCACATTTTTTCTTCTCTTTCTTTAAAGTTTACCCTTCTTTTATTATTATTATTATTTTGTGACAGTGTCTCCCTCTGTCATCCAGGCTGGAGTGTTATGGGGCAATCGCAGATCACTGCAGCCTTGAACTCCTCAGTCTCGCTCTGTCACCCAGGCTGGAGTGCAGTGGCACGATCTCTGCTCACTGCAACCTCCGCCTCCTGAGTTCAAACGATTCTCCCACCCCAGCCTCCTGAGTAGCTGGGACTAAGGCAAGCACCACCACACCTGGATAATTAAAAAAATTTTTTTTTTTGTAGAGATGGGGTCTCATGTTGCCCAGGCTGGTCTCAAACTCCTGGGTTCAAGTGATCCTCCCACCTTGGCCTTCCAAAGTATTGAAATTACAGGCACGAGCCACCATACGCAGCCACTTATTTTTCTGTACTAAGAAAGATGACTGTCCTACAAAACAGCTTTCATGTGTCACATGTATGCTTGTAGAGGTTGGATAAAGTGGTGGTGGTAACAAGGACTGCTCAACTATGGGAATCCTTTTTACCACCATTCATGTTCATCAATAGTGAAATGAATAAATACATTGTGGCACATTGGTACAAAAATTACAAAACAGCAATGAAATTAATCTCACAAACATAATGTTGAGCAAAAGAAGTTAGATACAAAAAAGATACTTACTGTGTGATCCAATTTATGTTACATTCAAAACAGGCAAAACTAAATTATGGCTTTGGAAGTCAGGATAGTGGTCACTTTTAGGGAGCAGGGAGAGGTAGTGGTTGGAAAGGGGCATTGCCGGTGGGAAGGAGTGACGTAAAAATTAATTTTCTTTCTCTGTAGTGGTGGATGTTATGTAGGCATTTGCTTTATGAAAATTCACTGAGCTACATAATTAAATTATGTGCACTTTGTAACTAGCATGTGTTAGATTTCAATGGACTTTGTTTTGCTTGGTTTTGTTTATAAGGACATTGGAACCTACATTTACCTCCCTTATCACTTTTTTGTTTAATTAAAAAAAAAAAAAAAAAAACTTTTTTAAAGAAATGGGACCTTACTGGCCTTGAACTCCTGGGCTCAAATGAACCTACTGTCTCTGCTTTCCGAATAGCTGGGACTACAAGCTTGCTACCGCACCTGAGTTTATCACTATTTTAATCTAAATCACTCATTTTCTTCAATGCCTAGAATTGTACAACTTTCTTCCATATTACCCATTCTGGACGTCATTCACATATCCTCATAGAGGGAGTCTTTCCAAATTGGGTTCGGCTTATATTATTGTGTAACATGGATCACCCTTAGTGAAAATTCAAGATCTAAAGTAACCTGGAAGGGTCAGGCTTGTTCTGTTAATCTTTAAATTCTGTGGCTGCTCATCTTGCATATACAGAGTAATGTTTATTGATATAGTTTCACATGAAGAAACTGTACATTCTTACTCAAGAATGTAACCTAAATATGGTTGGAATGCTCAGCATGTTAAAAGGGAAAACTCTTTCAATATTCAGATTCGGAAAGAAAAAACGTAATTTATTTATATAGGATTTGGAGCCAACTGAAACATTTGACACTGGTTAACTACAAACTCTTCCAACAGCTATTTATTAAAAGGGTGAATGTTGAGTTGAGGGGGTGTGGCTAGAAGGATGTCAATGCGCTGGGGGAATGAGATGAGAGCTTATGAAGGAACTTTGGAAGGATATTTAATCACTTAAACACTAAGCTGAGGTTACAAAATCCATAGCCACAACCTCCAGAAAATGGAGGAAGTGTAAATAAACAAAACTGTATTTTCTTTAATTTTTTAATCTTTTATTACCCTGTAAAGGTCACTGAAGTTGTTTTCATTATCTCTGGCCAAATAATTATTTGGACATGTTATTAAAGCAAAGTAGCCTACCATTTCGTTCTATTAATTCACTTCAGTGTCAGCATTGATCTTGGGAAGATTTGGGTCAGATTGTCCACTTGGTACCCTTTATTTTTTAGCCAAATGATTCCAAATTATTATTCACATTTTCGTTACCACATACAGTTTAAGCATGATCAATAAGGCAAGATGGCCAGATTTAATTCACACAGTATAGTGCATTAGAGGACTCCTTCTAGATCACTTTTGTTCAAATTTTAATGTACATAAGGATTATACAGGGTCTTTGGTAAAAATGCAAGTCTCTGTCTTCACAAATTCTTATTTGTTATGTCTCTCCTGGGTGATTTGCATGCCACTCACATTTGAAAACCGGGCATAGGGCAGTCTCCTTGCTCAAGAAATTCAGCTCTTAAAGGCAATTTCACTGCATTTATAACAACATCTAAATCTCAGTTCTATTATTTTAACTAGATTATGTTCTTAACTGCAATGCCACCTAGTCCATACCCTTCTGCTATTTAAAATACTTTAGAACTCAAATTTATTTAGAAATAATCTAGAAATTATACCTAAATTTCCTTAGGAGTCATCCAAGTGACTATGAAAAGTGTAGTTTCTAGGGGGTGAGAGGAAAGGGGAGGGAGAGCATTAGGACAAACACCTAATGCATGCAGGGCTTAAAACCTAGATGATGGGTTGATGGGTGCAGCAAACCACCATGGCACATGCATACCTATGTAACAAACCTGCACATTCAGCACATGCATCCCAGAACTTAAAAAAAAAGAAAGAAAGAAAAAAAAGAAAAGTGTAATTCCCTGGGCCTTATCCACAGTCTATTCAATCTGTCTCTAGCAGGAGGGAGCTAGAAGCTGTAGGTTTAACAAGTGCTCCTAGAGAGTCTTGTCATCAGAAAAAAAGGAAAATAGCCACAAGTTTGACATTATTTTACAGATTAACACAATCAAGAAATAAAATAAAATTAGTAATTTTATGGTACCTTGAGTGATTCAGGAAAGCAACTCTTCAACATTTTCTCCAGTATCAGTAATTTGGTAGAACAGTTTAGCACCAACATCTTTTCCAGAGTTCTTGCAACTCCACACCTGATTAGAAACTTGAAGGTAGGCATTTAATTTTTGTCTGTTAATATTTGGATCTATTTAGGACTATTCTTGTAATTCTATTTTCATTGGGTATAATTCTGACTGCCATTGCTCCCTCTAAAGAGGGAAAAAGGAAGATGGGGAGGCACTGGGATAGGTAAACCGCAGAATACATGGGAAGTGTTAATGACCTAATCCCGAACAGATGTGAGTATCTATCCTGGGTTAAATCTATTATATACATTGATTGTACTCTAAACTCTGTCTTCAGAGCATGTATAACAGTTGTAATTTTATATTTATTTGTGTTTTGTTTGGTCTAAATCCATCCTGAGTAACCTATAAGCTGTATGAAGGTAGGACCGATGCCTTCTTTGTGCTCCACTGTATCCACAGCACCTGCCAAAGGGACTGGCCCACATTAGGGACATTCTAAATAGTTGTTGAATGGAAACTATGAAGCTCAGGGTAAGAACCTCGAGCTAAGTTGGAAAACATCTTTTTCACAATGTGGGGCAAAGACTAGAGAAAGACTTGAGTGGGTCAGGTGGTTATGAGGAACAGCTGGAGAGAAATAACCTAGATTGAAGATGAAGAATCAGAAGTGATCAAAGGCTGAGACTCCTTTTAGCCTGATAAAATTAAAGAAAGAAGAAGGGCCTAAATATAATGTATGCAAAGTCATCAATTCTCATGCAATTACATTTTTTTTTTAGATTTGGGGACTTCACCTCCCCTGCTTTGTTCCCAAGAAAACTTTTTCTGGCATCATTCCAATCAGGGATGGACTGAATTAAAGAAAAAGAGTATTTCCTACGTTCAATGTAGCAGAGCTTATCAACGTACATGTGGCAGACAGGCACTAGGATGGCAAAGAGAACTCAGCTAGACAGGAGAACGTGGTGCCTCTGGGGTTGTGGTGGAGAGCTGGGATCATTCCTTTACAACATGTTTTCCAGGTAGAGAAAATTCTACTCAATTTCCCTATGTGGCATAACCCTGTGATTACAAGGTACCCTGAATATTCAATTGTAATCTACCTAAAATCTGCTGTAAAATTCCATCATGAGGTTTATGTGAGCCTGAACTTCTGGAAAGCATATGATCAATCCCTGTGGGCTCTAGTTCACTGAGTGGTACACTTAAGGTGTCTGTGCTCTCTGCAGGAGTCAGAAGAGATTGCAGGGGCCAGGGCAGCAGCCGAACATCAAGAGGCTTTCGAATCCCAGTCTGGACCAATATTAGAAACTTTGAAAAGATCTAGTTTCCATACTTCAGGATGGCAAAGAAAGAAGTACAGCCATCATCTCTTCACTTTTTCATCTGCTTAACTTTTCATTCATTTGCATCATCTCTAAATACATTTTTTAACTTTGTAGTAGATACTTATTTGAAATACATTTATTTATTCTAATTCAATATTTCCTGATAGAAAACGAAACAAAATTATTTCAAAGGGCAGTGGAACATGAACCTCTTCATTAGGTTTGATGTCTAGAGATCTTTTTATGCCTGAATACTTATCACAGTAGCTAATGAAAAGAGTAGGAATTAGAATATTTGTTGATAATTTGCTCCTTTATTACCTGATTTGTTCCCTGAAGGATCAAAAGCCATTTATGAAAATACGCAGGCCGGGCGCGGTGGCTCATGTCTGTAATCCCAGCACTTTGGGAGGCCAAGGCGGGCAGATCACTTGAGGCCAGGAGTTCGAGACCAGTCTGACCAACATGGAGAAACCCCGTCTCTACTAAAAATACAAAATTAGCTGGGCATGGTGGCACTTGCCTGTAATCCCAGCTACTAGGGAGGCTGAGGCAGGATAATTGTTTGAACCTGGGAGGCGGAGGTTGCTAGGTTGTGGTGAGCCAAGATCGTGCCATTGTACTACAGCCTGGGCAACAAGAGCAAAACTCTGTAAAAAGAAGAAAGAAAGAGAGAGAGAGAGAGAGGAAGGAAGATATGTGACATATATCAAGAAAAATAATTAAATTAAAATTTGGCAAAGGAGAAATAGAGGGATAAAGTAATATGGAGTCAAAAGTGAGGTTAATATGCAAAGTATGGAGCATGGAACATAATCCTATGTATACAATTGATCATCCTTAATCATGAATTTCACATTTGAAAATTTACCTGCTCACTAACATTTATTTGTAATTCCCAATTCAATACTTGTGGCACTTTTACAGTCATTTACAGTCATGCATAGAGCAACAAAAAGAACTGGGTTTCCTAACTCACGTTTCCAGCTAGGGCTGAACAGAGTGCTCTGTCTTCTTGTTTGTTCTCATACTGTAAACAAGTGCCCTTTTCATGGTCTGTTTAGTGCTAAGTTTTTCAAGTTTTTGTGCTTTGTGTTGATTTTGCTGTTTAAAAATGGACCAAAAGCATAGCACGTTTTGGCTGTGTTGGTGTTTCAAAGTGCAAAAAGGCTGTGATGTGAATAATGGAGGAAATACATGTGTTGGGTAAGTTTCGTTTGGACATGAGTTACAATGCTTTTGAATCAACAATGTGTATTAATGTGTCTTTCAACAAAAACACATATAAAACAAGGTTACTACTGATCTGCTGATGAAAATACGGTAACCAGAGGCTGACAAGAACCTAGCTGTATTTCTACTTGGAACAATGTTTCAGTATTGACTAAGTCAGTGTCTAGTATCATTTTATTGAAAATAACTACCACAATGAGAATCAACTGTACTTGCAGCAGGTGAGAGGCCACTTTTGACACTAAACTTTCTAACATAAAGTGAAACAAGTATGATTAGTTTCATGATGCAGTTTGCCCAGAAAATTATCCTCCTTACACTCTTTCCTCTAACATTTACTTGTTTTTTCACTTATGCCATCTCTAAAGTCCAATACTCTAGCTTATTATTTATTATTTATTTATTATTATTATTTCTTTTGACACAGTCTTGCTCTATTGCCCAGGCTGGAGTGCAGTGGCATGATCTTGGCTCACTGCAACCTCCGCTTCCCAGGTTCAAGTGATTCTCCTGTCTCAGCCTCCTGAGTAGCTGGGATTACAAGCACACACCTGTAGGGAGACACCCTGAAACTACTGCTACAGAATAAAATATGAAATGCTCCTGATTATTGTAAATACAAACTTGCATGCAGGACTGTGTAAAGACAATGCTAGGTCGGACTGCCAGAATGAGCCAACAGCGTGTGATGTGCTTCCCCCTGCAGAGAGCCTATGAATGGACGTGCAGTCAGGGAGGTTTCACATCACCAAGATTCCTATCCCAGAAAAGCAGATGTTCATAGCCCTGGGAATGGAATGTGACCCTTGTGGAGAGCCTACAAATGGATGCTTGAGGGGCCCCTGTCCATATGGATAAGATAGGGCTATAAACACCCTCATCTTGCCACGGCTCTTCTAGGCCTCTTTAGGGTTAAAGCATACTCCCTTCTGAGGATTTCTGGTCTAAGCAGTTGTCTAGCTTCACATCATGTTTCTATGGATTGTTTGTAACCAGCTTTTGCTGCAACTGTTACTGCTGATTAATATCTTGCTAATCATAGATTATGGAAAGACTGCGTTTCTGTTTTAAGGCTCTGTTAGAAATTACTGATGCACACATTATTTTGTAAATTCTTATCTCCATATACTGTAAATTGCATACAGATGTTATGTTAAAGAATTACTTCATCCCCATGTGACCATCTCACCTCATAATCAAATGACCCTAAATCCCTCACTAACCTACCCCCGTCCTCACTAAATTTAATAATAAATGCTGGTATATTCAGTGCATTGGCGCCACCGCGGGACCAGAAGGCAGTGACCCCCACTGGACCCAGCTTTCACTATCTTGTGTTTGTCTGTTATTTCTAGACCTGCTGATCTGCCTGGGAACAAAGAGAGAGCTCCGTTGCATTGCGGGCTGCTGGCCAGATCCTGCAATACACACCACCACGCCTGGCTATTTTTTAAATATTTTTAGTAGAGATGGGGGTTTCACCATGTTGGCCAGGCTGATCTCAAACTCCTGACCTCATGTGATCCACCTGCCTTGACCTCCCAAAGTGCTGGGATTACAGGCGTAAGCCACCCCACCCGGCCTCTAATTTCTTAGTAGTAAAACCTCTCCTTAATCAGGTTTTAACCTACCCTTCTAGACTATACTCTTGCAACTCACAAATGACTCAGGGTGACAAACTAAAATCAGAGACATTCCCCCATGGATTGATGCAGAGAGGACACTATAATTAATCTACATTTGACAATATCCTTTCAGGAAACAGTGATTCCTTTCATAAGGATCTTTTATTAAATAGAATTTTTTTTAATGCCACAAAATAGAGCAGAAATTCTCATTGATGCAGAAAATATTTTCTACACATTTTTGTAACATGTTAGAGAGTCATAATGACGATTAACTCTGAAAGCTACAAGAGCAGAATGTCATATCCTTACCACTCAATTACTACTCTCCACAATCAGTATGTTCTGGAATTGGAAGGTAAAGGTTAGTGACTCCTTTAACCAAATTATAGCCAATAGACTCACTGTTTGAAAGTATTTGTCAAGAAAAAGAATTATGCTCATATAAGTTTTAGAAACTGAAGTTTCTTTGAGGGCATTTGAGTGTTTATAAGCACAGAGCAAGCATCTAAAATATTTTATTGATTAATATTTATCATAACAATGAAAGCATGAAACTCCCCTGAGAGACTTTTAAGTCTTGTAAACAGTAAAACATAAGATCTCCATTTTTATAATGTAACACTATTTACCATAAAATGGTGGGCATTTGTTAACGAGGAAATACTTTTTTTTTGTAGTTGCAATCCGATGCTAATAATTATTTTTGATATGTTAGGATTTTTGTTCAGAGAGGTTGTTCTAGTTGTACCCATATCACAATGCAGACAAATTTATACTTGGTAATGCTTATTGTCCTCACATCAAAATTTAAAGGTAAAAATTTTCCTCATATCAAAATTTAAGAGTTTAAAAAACCCCAAACAAAAACACGCCGAGAAACAAAACAAAATATATCTTTCCTTGAAACCTAATTGCAATGTATTCTTTCTGTCTAAGGTTGGATTTCATCTCTTTATTTTTCCCATCCCTTTCTGCAATTATAAACTATGACTTGAAATGTATTATATTAATGAATAAATGTTTACCTGCTGGGAGTTCAGTCCAAAACTGAGGGTTTTCAGCTGTGTATCAGTCCAGTAGCTCCTTTTATATCAATGGTAAGTTTATTCTTCAAGGCTACCTCCTTAATTAGCCCTTAGTGGAAAGAGGAGGGAGAGGAAAAAAAAAGTGCCCACACCTGTAGAAGGGGAGGAGTTTATGATGTTGGTCAGGTGAAAATCATCTCACATACAGCACAGGCATTTCCACTCCATCCCTTCCTTTTTATCACATTTGGCCTTATGGTGTAAAAGGCAGTGAATACTAATCTTGATTTAGAGATAGGTATTTTCTAGACATAAAGCCTGTCTATTAATCAGTATCTCATGAATGAGAATAAAAAGGAACCCAGGTGAATAGTAGTATGATAAGAAAATAATATAAAGGTATTGACCCCTTAGTTATTTTTTATATATTCTGAAGAAAACGATTTTGCTGCCCTAAATTTACAAGGCTGAAAGGGGGTAGTCGCTACAGAGGATACATAAGAACATGAGAGTAATTTAAAGAATTTTAATTACTTCAGCCTATTCTTTTAAATGAAAAGTCATTCAGAGTTTACCCACTTCTTTGAAAAGACTGAAATTTCAACAACCATGTAAGTATTTACTTGGACATCTCAGCACTCAATACCTGAATCTTAAAATAATATGCAACACAAATGTCTCAATGGCATATGCAGAGTGCTTCAGTTTGAATGCGGTCACATGGGAGGATTCTGTTTACCATCTTTATGTCTCATAAAATGGTAAATTAGGGCATTCTTCACTAGAGGGCACTGAGCTTTGTAATACAATGGGCAGCTAGTAGTTGACAACGAGTGGAGAAATTGTATTAGGTGTCAATTACTGAATGCCAAAATAAGAGCTTTTGATCTGGCTGTCTATACTGATAACTTCTTTTTTAAAAGATGTTACTGAGAACAAAGTATACCTACTTTTGGCTCTAAGGAGCCTATATAAATATAGTTTTCTAAATATTAACTGAGTAAAATAGATTTTTTATAAGTTAAGCTAAGGCTTTTATTTACAAAGCAGAAACTCCTTTAGATAGTAAGTGCAATATCCTGGGGGAAACTTTAAAAAGTTTGAGGTCTGGTTATTTATAAACTCTGAGACATGTAAAAGTTTCCCCAAATTTAGATTACATCTTGTTTCCAAGTGCATTTAAAACAGAAACTTGAGCTCTTTGTTCTTTATAAAACATCAGAACTAATTGGATCTACCTTTTGCCTGAATAAATAAATGATAAGACAAAACATTACTTTTCCAGGACAGTATGGTTGAAGGTAATTAAATTTGAGATATTTATATATATCAGGCTAAGGCAAACTTTTAATTCTGAGATTAAAGGAAAAGGGAGGAAAAAAGGAGATTCCCACTGTAAGATTAAAGAAATTGTCTTCTGAAGACCCAGGTGAACAAATCCACAATACATATCATCACTTTACTGAGAAAAATACATCAGATTGTACTTTGCTCTAATAGGGGTTATTCATTAGATTCAGTAGCCCCTTCTACTTGTAGTTTATCAGAAGACTCCTAAGAAGAGGTTCAGTTATTTTTTCACTTCCTTGTTCTATCATTTACTATCTGTGTGATCTTAAGTGATTTAGCCTCCCGGTGCCACAGTTTCTTCACCTGCAGGATGGAGGTAATAATGAATGTTAAGAGGTTTAATTCCCATAGGGTTGTCATTTAGCTTAAACATTGGCATAAATATATGTATATATGTAATGGGATTAGACTAGTACCTGGCATGTAGCAAGCACTCAATAAACGTCAGCCATTTTTCTCATTGTTATTACTGTCTTATATCCCTGTTGTACCATTTGAAAACTTAAAGTAATTTTAAGGACCCCTCTAGGGGGTAGAAATGGGTCAAAATTGGCTAAGGCACATTTATTTCTATTAGTTTAAAAATGAAAAACTTCATTTTTAAAATGTGCTCTATTGTAGTTCTATTGAATTTAGAAAATGTCCCTCTTTTATATTCTTCTTTGTCCAGTTTTAACAGCTATTATGTCCAATTTTGGATATGGTTGCTAAAGCAACTTCACAGCCCTGAGAAGAACAGAGGCTACTTTAATAAGACAGCAAACCCCTAAGCCAAGAAAAATTGGTTCTATGGTGGCTTAGTTGTGAAGAAACACATTTAGTAACAACTCTAAACCAAAAATGCAAATTAGAAAACAAAAATAGCTCTTTTGACATAATAAAGCCCAACTGAGAAATTAAAATTTCTCTCTGCTTTTACGTTCCTTCTTTCCTTTCTCTCTCTCAAAGCTAAATATTTCTTAACAATGAATGAAACATGAGAGGATTTAGACTTATGTTTAGAAACTAAGCCAATCCGTATACTTCAAATACTAATTTTGACAGGTGCAACTGCATATTTTTGGTAAACACAGAATGCCAAGAAATTCTATCCAACCAAATAAACAAAAGTAAATCCCTTAATTTTTAGGTTCCAGTGCAGGTGGCTCATATTTAAACAAAGCCTGTTTGTTGAACATATGCCAACCGGGAGTTGGTGAAAATCAAAGGGCTCATATAAAGTAAGAATTTTAAGTGGCTGACATTACACTAGGGTTCTGCAACAAATCTGTAAAGTCCGCCTCTCAAAACAGTTCTACCAATTCACCTTCCTTCAGCACAAGTACTTAGTGCCCATTTTTCAGTATGTTCAGCAATTTTCTTTTAGCTTTTTCTAGTCTTCATCAATTTGATAGGTGAAAACATGTTTTAATTTGCATTTAAATGGTGAAGTTAAGGTTGAACATCTTTCAAATACTTATGGATGTCTTCCTTTGAGAACTGCCGATTTTCCTATTTGTATTTAAGCTATTTGTTAATGATATTTTAGAGCTCTTTATTAATAAAAGTTTTATTTCTTTTATTTATATTGTAGATATTTTCCTGTTTGTGATGTGTTTTTGGCTTGGTTTTGTATTATTATTATTATTATTTTTTGGGATAGAGTCTCACTCTGTTGCCCAGGCTGGAGTGCAGTGGCAAGATTTCAGCTCACTGCAACCTCTGCTTCCCAGGATCAAGCGATTCTCCTGCCCCAGCCTCTTGAGTAGCTGGGATTACAGGCATCCACCATCACACCCGGCTAATTTTTCTATTTTTAGTAGAGACGGGGTTTCACCTTGTTGGCCAGGCTGGTCTCGAACTCCTGACCTCAGGTGATCCACCTGCCTCAGCCTCCCAAAGTGCTGGGATTACAGGTGTGAACCACCATGCCCGGCCAGTTTTGTATTTTTAAAAATCTTATTTCAAAAAGTTCAAAATATTATGTAATACTCTTTCATGGTTCTACTTTTGCTTATATGCATAATAGGGCATTTGCTACCATGACATCCACTGTTCTTTTTAGCTTCCATTTTTATATTTAACGTTATTTACTGGGAATGTGTTTAGGCATAAAGTAGGAATATTAAACATCCTCTCACCCTCCATCATGTAATTAGCCAGTTTTATGAAGACCATTTATTGAATAATACATATTTTTCTGTATTTCATTTGAAATGCTATCTTTATCATGTGCTACATTTTAATACAATATATCCTCTATTCTGAAAGTGTATTTTTTTTAAGTTTCTGGCATTGGCATTTATCAGTCACTAAAGAAGAGATGCATCATAGTTGGCATGGGCTGTGCATGGGAGAAGTTAGATGGCTGACTGAGGAGGACTGTTATTTGAATTATTGGGACCACGTATAGTTAATTTATTTATTTTATTTTTTGAGATGGAATCTTACTCTGTCACCCAGGCTGGAGTGTAGTGGCACTATCTGGGCTCACTGCAATCTCTGCCTCCTGGGTTCAAGCGATCCTCCTGCCTCAACCTCCCGATTACAGGAGCCCGCCACTGTGCCTGGCCAATTTTGGTATTTTTAGTAGAGACGGGGTTTCACCATGTTGGCCAGGCTGGTCTCGAACTCCTGACCTCAGATGATCTGCCCGCCTCAGCCTCCCAAAGTGTTGAGATTACAGGCGTTAGCCACTGCGCCCGGTAGTTTAATTTTATTTGGATCTTGTCTTGGGTCTCTTTAGTGTGGCCATAAAGGAATACCTGAGGCTGGGTATTTTATAAAGAAAAGAGATTTATTTGGCTCATAGTTCTGTAGGTTGCACAAAAAGCATGGTGCCAGCATCAGCTTCTGGCCAGGGACTCAGGCTGCTTCTACTCATGGTGAAATGTGAAGGGGAGCTGGCATTTGCAGATCATGTGGTGAGAGAGAAAACAAGACAGAAAGAGGTGCTAGGCTTTTTAAGAAGCAGTTCTCATGGGAACCAAGAGAACTTATTTACTCCTGGGAGAATGTCACCAAGCCATTCATGGGGGATCTGTCCCCAGATTTCTCCCATCTGGCCCCACCTCCAATATTGGGCATCAAATTTCAACATAAGATTTGGTGGGATGAAAAACAAATCTCATGTCTTCCTCACATTGCAAAATACAATTATTCCATCCCCCAAAGTCTTAACTTGTTCCAGCATCAACTCAAAGTCTAAAGTCTCATTTGAGACTCAAGGCAAGTTCCTTACAACTGTGAACCTGTAAAATAAAAAACAAGTTATTTACTTTCAAGATACAATGGTGGTACAGACATTCCCTTTCCAAAAGGGAGGAATAGGCCAAAAGAAAGGGGTAATAGGCCCCATGTGAGTCCCAAACCTATCAGGACAGATATTAAATATTAAAGCTCAAAAATAATCTGCTTTAACTCCATGTCCCGCATCCTAAGAACACTGGTTCAAGGGGTGGGTTCCAGAGCCTCAGGCATCTCCATCCCCATGGCTTTGCTGGGTGCAGCCCATGTAGCTGCTCTCACGGGTTGGAATCCAATACCTGCAGCTCTTCCAGGCTGAGACTGTAAGCTGTTGGTGGCTCTACCATTCTGAGATCGGAGAGTGTTAGCCCTGCTCCATCTGCTCCAGTAGGTACTTCTCTAGTAGAGGCTCTCAGCCCCTGTGGTAAGCTTCTGTCTGGGTACCCAGACTTTCTAATACATCCTCTCAAATGTAAGTGGAGGCTGCCAAGTCTCCACTACTCTTGCATTCTGCATGCTTGCAGACTTAACACCACATGGAAGTCCCCAAGGCTTACTGGGTACACCTTCCAGAGCAGCAGCCTGAGGCCTTTTGAGCTGGTGCCATTGGGGTATAGGGAGCAGTATCACCTGCCCCGTCAAAAAGCCATTCTTTCATTCTAAACTTCTTAATCTGTGATGGGAGGGGTGGCATCAAAGATTTCTGAAATAGCTTTGAGACTTTTTTTCCATAGTCTTATTAGCACCTGGCCCCTTTTAGTCATGCTCATCTCTTTAGCAAACTACTGCTCCTGCTTGGCCATACTCTCAGACTCCTCTCCTAAACACACTCTTCTTTCCTTCTCTAACACAAGGCAAGGCTGCACATTTTCCAATTTTCCTCTGGTTTCTACTGTAAGCAGTTAGAAGTAACCATGCAGCAGTCTGAGCACTTTGCTGGTTAGAAATTTCTTTTCCCAGATACCCTAGGCCGTCTCTTAAATTAAGCCTTCCATAAAGCCCTAGAGCATGGACACAATGCGGACAAGTTCTTTGGTATGGCATAACAAGTGTGACTTTTGCTTCAGTTACATATAAGTTCATCATTTCCATCTAAGGCTTCCTCAGTATGACCTTTGCTGTCTCTTTTTCTATAAGCATTTTGGTCCACAACTACTTAACCAGTCTCTAAGAAGTTCCAAACTTTCCCTTGTCTTCCTGTCTTCTCCTGAGCCCTCCAAGCTCTTCCAACCTCTGCCTATTACCCAGTTCAGAAGCTACTCCCACGTTTTCAGGCATCTTTAGAGCAATGCCTCACTCCCAAATACCAATTTTCTTAGTATGTTTAGTGTTGCTATAAAGGAATATCGGAGGCTGGGTAATTCATTAATGAAAAGAGATTTGGCTCATGTTTCTGCAGGCTGTACAAGCATGGCACCAGCATCTATGGCACCACGCCATTCATGAGGGATCCACGCCATGATCTAAACAACTCTCACCAGGCCCCACCTCCAACATTGGGGATCAAAAAATTTCAACATGAGGTTGGTGGGGCCAAAAAACCATAAGCAAATCATAACGGATCTGTAATTAATTCTTAAATTCTTTCCAAAGAGTATACCAAGATGCAGTCTTATTTAAAGAAAATATTGTGTATGTTTTGGATTGGATGCTACCTACCAGATGACACTGTGGATCTCTTAAAGTTAGATTAGAAACCCTTCAAAGCAACAAGAGTAGTATGGCCAGTTCACATAGGGTGAAGAACTACATCACTCAGCAACAATGGTAAGTTAAAATTCCAGTTAACTATCAGTTATCTGTTAAACAGATGCCCTGAGAGAAACAGCATACGTAATTCCTCCCTCCCCACCAAAAGCTACTATAACATTAGTGTTAAAAATCACTGAGTTAGGGCTCTCCTACTCATTCTAAAAACATGAAGCTTTAAGTTTCCACGTGAAGGGTTTTTAAGACATTTTGTAATAACCTTTACTTTTAGTCACTTTGCCAGGTTTTTCTTTGAGATTTTCCTCCAAAATCTATTAATAGGTCTTCTTTACCATTATTCCTATGAGGATATTGCTTGTGACCCCTCTCGGGCTGCCCCAGGGTCCTCATGTGTGATCTCCTCAGTACAGTAAAAACCTAACTTGTTTAACTACAGGTGTGTTCCTGGTGGTCTCTGCCTGAAGGTTATTAACATAATTATGGCATCTCCCAAATTAACTGATATTATAGGTTACACAAAAAAAGTAATTGCAGTCATTTTATTTTACAGATAAAAAAAAAAAACAACAAAAAACAAAAAAACCCAAGACAGTATACTGTAGTTAGAAATAATTTTTGATATATTAGGTTATAATTTATTCCCATATATAAGCTTACTGTCATGATGAGAAAAGGTTTATAAAGTTTTTTGGGTTTTTTTTGTTTTAATGAAATAAATGTGCTAAGGTTCCTTTTTAATACTTTTTGGGAGTATGTTTTGATGACAGTAGAAAATAAATATTCAACATTAATTCACTAAACCACCAAAGAAGTAAAATTTTGATACTACCTCCAAAGTTAAAGATACCAGGCATATCTTAACTACTTCCCAAAAAAGACTAGGGAATTAGGTAAAAGAGTGAAGGCATTTGAGGATTTTTCAAGTTCCAGATGACCAGACAGAAACTTAATGTAAGCCATTGGCCACAGAATGAATGACAGCAAACGCTTAGGTTTTTATGCACTAGACACTATATGTAAACACTTACTTATCACAGTTCCTGATATGAGCTGTTAATCAATAAATGACCTCCATTGAGGCATTATAAACTATTCGATCCTTAAGGCAATTCCTATTTTGTGGTTCTAGGCAAATACTTATTGATAGAGCAATATAAATGTTAGCTTCCTAGAAATGGCAACTGCTAAACACAGTTTTCAGAACTACATTAGATGCTAATGATAGACCTACAAAGACTAATTTTAAAGTGCATATCAGGAGATAATAAATCCTGCAGAAGCCTTAGCCTCTGTACATATAATCAGAGGTTAACAGTTTTACAAATTCATGAACATTAAATTAATATAGAACAATCTAAAAAATAAAAAAGCTCTTTAAGAGGCATTCAGTTTCTTATAGGCTTCTTCAATGAAGGTTGACATGCTCTTCATATGTGATGAATTATGAAGAATATCCAAGTCCTTTAGAAGAGCATTCTGGTTTGGAATTAGTGCCAAAATTTCTTTCTGTGGGAAAGATAGTATTAAATATAGTTGTTAACATTTTACTATGAGAAATCTCAAATGTATGTTAGAGAGAACAGTTTAAAATAAACCTTAAGTATCTATCACCCAACTTCAATAATTGTCAACTAATGGCCATTCTTCTTTCAAATCTCTCTCCCTCTCCCCATCCTGCTCCTTTCGCCACTGGTAAATGATTGAGAGGATTTTTTTTTTTTTTTTTTGAGGTAGAGTTTTACTCTTGTTGCCCAGGCTGGAGAACAATGGCGCAATCTTGGTTCACTGCAACCTCCATCTTCCAGGTTCAAGCAATTCTTCTGCCTCAGCCTCCTGAATAGCTGGGATTACAGGCATGTGCCACCACGCCTGGCTGATTCTCTATTTTTAGTAGAGATGGTCAGGCTGTTCTTGAACTCTCGACTTCAGGTGATCCGCCCGCCTCAGCCTCCCAAACTGCTGGGATTACAGGCATGAGCCAACTGTGCCCAGCCAATAGGAAAATTTTAAATTACTTTTTAAGAAAACATGAAGACTTTCCAATGCTACAAACATTTACACTACAATATCTACTGGAGTCTTTGAAGAAAGATAAATTACCGGTTTAGAGTTTACTACAAATAAGACAGCACTGTTTTATAAAGAGTTATATGCTGTTGTTAAAAGCATAAAAAAACCAAACTGTCAATTATTTACTTCTAGAAATGTAGCCTACAATTATGACTACACATATCAGTAAAGATATATGTACAAGGGTGTACCCAGTCTTACCTGCAACAAAAAAATTATGTATTTCCATCAGTAATTTACAAATTATATGACCTCCATGCAACAGAATGTTATACAGCTGTCAACAACAACGAGCGATCTACATGACTGACAAGATGTTCAAACTATACAGTCAAATGAGCAAAGTAATTTGCCAAACCGTTTATATCAGGTTCCATTTGTTTAAAGAACGAAACAGGACATAATGTTTTCATATATATGTGATGTAAAACTGGTCTATTATATATAGGGATGCCTTATTTTACTGTGTTCCCAGATACTGCGTTGTTTTACAAACTGAAGGTTTGTGGCAACTCTGTGTGAAGGAGGTCTATCAGCACCATTTTTCCAAAAGCACATGCTCACTTTGTGTCTCTGCGTCACATTTTGGTAACTGTTGTAATATTTCACACTTTAAAAATCATTACGGTATCCGTTATGGTGATCTATGCCTAGTGTTCTTTGATGGAACTGCTGTAATTGTTCTGGGTGCCACAACTGCAGCCATATCAAACAGCGAACTGAATTGGTAATTGTTATGTGTTCTGACTGCTCCACCAACCGGCCATTTCCCAGTTTCTCTCCCTCTCCTTGGGCCTCCCTATTCCCTGTGACACAACGATACTGAAATTAAGCCAGTTAATAATGCTACAATGGCCTCTAAGTGTTCAGGTGAAAAGAAGAATCATGTCTCTTACTTTCAATCAAAAGCTAGAGATTACTAAGTTTAGTGAGGAAGGCATATCAGAAGCCACGCAAACCAAAAGTTAGGTCTTTTGTGCCAAACGCCCAAGTTGTGAATGCAAAGGAAAAGTACTTGAAGGAAATTTAAAGTGCTACTTCAGTGAATACATGAATGATGAGAAAGCAAAACAGCCTTACTGTCGATATGGGAAAAGTCTGAGTGGTCCGGATGGAAGATCAAACCAGCCACGACATTCCCTTTTAAACCGAATCCTAATCCACAGCAAGGCCCTAACTGTTTTCAAGTCTATGAAGGCTGACAGAAGTGAGGAAGTTGCAGAAGAAAAGCTTGAAGCTAGCAGAAGTTAGTTCATAAGGTTTAAGGAAAGAAGCTGTGTTTGTAACATAAAAAGTACAAGGTGAAGAAGCAAGTGCTGACAGAAAAGCTACAGCTAGTTACCCAGAAGACCTAGCTAGCTAAGATCACTGGTGAAGGTGGCTATAGTAAACAACACATTTTCAATGTAAACAAAACAGCATTCTATTGGAAGAAGATGCTATCTCTAGGACTTTCATAGTTGGAAAGGAGAAGGCAATGCCTGGCTTCAAAACTTTAAAGGACATGGTTTTGTTAGGCTCTTGTTAGGGGCTAATGCAGCTGGTGACATGAAGTTGAAGCCAATGCTCACTGATCCTTCTGAAAATCCTAGGGTCCTTAATTCTACTAAATCGACTACATCTGCGTTGTCTGTGCTCTGTAAATGGAACAACAAAGCCTGGGTGACAGTACATTTGTTTAGAGCATGGCTTACTGAATATTTTAAGCCCACTGTTAAGAGCTACTGCTCAGAAAAGAAGATTCCTTTGAAAATATTACTGCTCATTGAAAATGTTCAGTTACCCAAGAGTTCTGATGAAGATGTACAAGGAGATTGTTGTTTTCACATCTGCTAACACAACATCTATTGTGCAGTCTATGAATCAAAGAGTCATGTCAACTTTCAAGTCTTATTATTTAAGAAACACATTTCATAAGGCTATAGCTGACCTTGGTAGTGATTTCTCTGATGGATCTGGGCAAAATAAATTGTAAACATCTTGAAAGAAATTTATCATTCTGTCAGTAAGAACATTGATGATTCACAAGAGGAAGTCAAAATACCAATAACAGGAGTTTAGAAAAAATGGATTCAATTTTCAATCCTCATGGATGACTTTGAGGGGTTCAAGACGTTAGTGGAGGAAGTGACTGAAGATGTGGTGGAAATAGCAAGAGAACTAGAATTAGAAGTGGAGCCTGAAGATGTACCTGAATTGCTGCAATCTCATGATAAAACGTGAATGGACGAGGAGTTGCTTCTTATGGATAAGCAAAGAAAGTGGTTTCTTGAGATGGAATCTATTCATGATGAAGATGTTGTGAACACAGTTGAAATAACAATGAAGGATATAGAATATGACAAAAACTTAGTTGACAAAGCCAGGACAAGGAACGAGAACTGACTCCAGTTGTGAAGGAAGTTCTACTGTGGGTAAATGCTATGAAACAGCATCACATGCTCCAGGGAAATCTTTCGTGAAAGGAAGAATCAACTGATGTGGCAAATTTCATTGTTTTCTTATTTTAAGAAATTGCCACATGCATCCCAGCCTTCAGTAATCAACATGCTATCAGTCAGCAGCTATCAACATTGAGGCAAACCCTCCACCGGCAAAAAGATTACGACCTGCTGAAGGTGCAGATGATGAACATTTTTTAGCAATAAAGCATTTTCTAAGTTAAAGTATGTCCTTTTTTTTTTCTTTTATTTTTTAAAGAAATAATGCTTTTTTTTGCACTTACTGGACTACAGTATAGTGTAAACATAATGTTTATATGCAGTGGGAAACCAAAACATTTGTGTGACTTGTGTTACTGCAGTATTTGCTTTTTTGCTGTGGTTTGAATCCAAACTTGCAATATCTCTAAAGTATGCCTGTAATCAATATGGTAAATAGGTACTTACCTGAAGTGTGGGTGCTTTGAGAGTTTTCTGAGAAAGTTCTGGAAGAGAGAGTACTCCACTAGTATTTATTTGATGCATCTAAAGTAGAAGAAAGCTACAGATTATTTCAAAAAGCTGGTTTCTCTCATCATATTATACTCGAAAGCTGTCTTGGCATAATTTAACCATTAAAAATTACATCCAAATTCCAGTAATACAGTTTAAAATAATTACCTGTTTTACCCTCTCCTCCTCTTCTTCCACCTCACTTGCCAGAATCTGAATTCTGTTCTTTAGGCTCTGAATATTCCCAGTCATTAACTCTGTGGTCTCTACCATTTTATCTATTTCTTCCTGAATCAGAAAGAGAAAAAAAAAAACATTTTAACTTAAACACATTGTTATATTAAATCCTAATAGATATTGTTATACATATACATTTTTAAAAACACTATATACATTTAAAACATTTTTAGAAGCAAATGGTGAATTTACTTTTGTTTCTTTCAAAAAACAGACTTCTTGGAAAGCTGGTATGTCAAGGTATTAATGTGTTATAAGGATATCTGATTTCCCTGGAATAAGGAGATGCACATGAACACTTCCTCAAAACTTACCAATGCTGGTAGGGTCAGAGATCCTGGAAGATCCAAGTGTAAATCTAGCAGAGCCCAGAACCAATGACAGCAAATACAGTAACCTTCCTTAAGCAGCATAAAACTTCATGTAGTGGAGAAATTCTGAATTGTTTTCATTTATTTAGGAACATTTGAGAGTCTGCTATTTTAATTTGTCAAAAGGAAGTAATGTTGGGCATTAGAGCAGGGAGAATAATAAAAAAAAAATGAGTAACAGTTTCCCACATTAAAGGAATATATAATTTAGTGGGGAAGATGAAAAGAAAATAAGAAATGAATAAAACAAGTATGGGGACAAGACATTAAGGATGTGTTGTGTGCAGGCTGAGGAAAAAATTAAAATTAGCAAGTCTCCAGGTTTCTAAAGGGTATTAAATATGGCACTGCTTTGAAATATAGTCCTAGTAACAGTCAATGATAACATTGCCTGCTGGCTTTGGGGAACAAGTAAATAAACCACACAGAAAATACACAGAAGTCGTAACTCTTACATCTTGTTCAGCAATAAGGTTGATGCTATATCTATGTCATTCTCCAAATACTGGATGCAGAACTGTTGCTGGCAACTAGAGTAGTCTTCCTCAAGAAATATATTTTGGCTTCTAAATGACCTTTTTTTTTTTAAAGAGTAGCTGCAGGGGTCAACAATTGCCCATGGCATGTTTTTGTACAGTTCAAGAACTGTGAGTTGTTTTTACATTTTAAAAGATTGGTCAAAACCTCAACAAAACAAAAGGATATGCAACAAAACAGTCAACCATATGTGGTCCAAAAAGGCTAAAATGTTTATTGTCCAGCCCCTTACTGGGAATGTGCTGTTCCCTGAATGCCTAAGATTTTGGGACTGTGAGCTCTATTCACTTGAATCTAAACTCCATGGAGGAACAGACTCTGTTTTTATTTTTTATTATAGTAAATTTCAAACACATACAGTAAGAGAGAATGTTATCATGAACACCCATATACATATCAGCCAGTTTCCCTTATCAACTCATGATCATCTTTTTTTTTTTTTTTTTTTGAGATGGAGTTTCGCTCTTGTTGCGCAGGCTGGAGTGCAGTGGCGCTATCTTGGCTCACTGCAACCTCTGCCTCCTGGGTTCAAGTGATTTTCCTGCCTCAGCCTCCTGAGTAGCTGGGACTATAGGCGCCTGCCACCATGCCCAAATGATTTTTTTTTCTGTATTATTAGTAGAGACAGGGTTTCACAATGTTGGCCAGTCTGGTCTTGAACTCCTGACCTCTGGTTATCCACATGCCTCGGCCTCTCAAAGTGCTGTGATTACAGGCGTGAGCCACCGTGCCTAGCCCGTGGCCATCCTGTCACACCTTTAACTCCATCCACTTCTCCTGCTTCCCCTGCGCTATTTCAAATACTAGATATCCCATCATTTTATCTATAAATATTTCAGTATATAGCTCTAAAGGATTTAAAGATATATGAGTACAACATCATTACTACACTTTAAAGAATCTCAATAAATTCCTTAATATCAAGCATATGGTTAGTATTCACATTTTCAATTTTCTCATAAATTGGAGGTTTTTTTTATATTTTGTTTTAATCAGGTTCCAAACTGTTTGTGACTGGTTGATATGTCTTAAGTCTCTTTTCATCTATAGGAGGCTTCCATTTCAATTCATTTGTGGAGATTAGTTCGCTCTGTGGAATTTCCCATGGGCTAAATTTTGTGAACTGCATTCCCTGGTGAAGTTTAAACTGGTTCCTCAGCCCTGTATTTTCTGTGAATTGGTTGCTGGATCTAACAGAGTGCTGTCCAATATAAATATAAAGCAAACCACCTATATTAGTTTCCTGTGGCTGCTGTACCACCTACTTGGCTTAAAATAACAGAAATTCATTCTGTCATGGTTCTGGAGGACAGAGTCCAAAATCGAGCTGTTGGCAGGGACACAATCCCTCTGAAGACAAGAGAGAATGGTTTCTTGTCTTTTTCAGCTTTTGGTAGCTGTACGCATTCTTTGTAGCTGCATTGCTCTAGTTTCTGCCTTTGCCTTCACATGACTTTTTCTTTGTACCTTCTCTTGTCTTTTATAAGAACACTTGTCGTTGGATTTGGGACCTACCCATGACAATACAGGATGATTTCATCTTGAGATCCTTAACTGTATCTGACAAGACCCTTTTCCTAGATTCAACCCACTACAAAGGGAATGTATAACAGCACTGAATGAATAAAAGGGTTAAATATAACAAGGATTAAAATTTCTCATTATGAAATTTATTTTGTTCCATTGCTTTGGTTATCTTTGGGTATTACTACCATACTCATATGGTATCTTCTTTGAGGATTTTTTTCTCAATTCCTTTTAAAAATGTTTTTATGATTCTGAAAATTTTCTCCTTATGTTATTTTCTATTTACCATAAGCATTATCTGTTGTGTTTATTTGCTTTAGTGTTTCTTCTAATTTAGTCTACATATCTGAAAGGCTTTTTCTTTTATGTCTCATTCATTCCTGAATTCTCTTCTTTCATTTATAGTATTTCTAATTCTGATTTATAATTTTTTCCCTATACTTCCTATCATTTTTTCTGAATTTATTTCAGTTCACTTGATAAATTAGGTTAATGTTCATCTGTTCTAGGCACATGTCTTTTTGGCATGCTTTCGGTGTATCAGGAATGTTATTTTTGGTCTTTATTGTCATATTTTCTTATGCTAACTCTGATTCTGAAATCCTATGGCTCCATTTTTATGACAACATCAAGGGAGTCTAAAAAATTATGCTTCAGCTGTTCTAATGCTGTCTCCCCAGAATCTCCGAGATGTTGTTCACCATTGTTGTTTCCCCAACACCATTACTGAGTGAGAGCACAAGGAAAATGTTAAATAAATAAAATTTCTGTTATTATTACAGGTTTTAGAAGATCATCACCAGCAATAGCTCTAGGCTGCAGTGAGAAAAAGCAATGGGTCTAAGGCACAGAGGAGAAAACTAATGGTTACAGATCGAGTTTACAAGCTGCTAGTCCAAAAATCCTCTTATGCCAATGAAGAACCCTCCTGCCCCAGGTGCCAGTGGTGCTTCTTCTGAGTGACTAACAAGCACACCATAGACTGTAATTATGCTTATGTCCCATGGAGGTCAAATTTCAGCTGAAGACCAGAAATGCTTACGAGTAGCATAAAAATCATACTATCATTTATGACTTCAAAACACCCTTAACTGATGTGCATAAATACTAAATGTTAAAATTCTCCATGATCATACTCTCGAACCTTTTAAAATAACCTAAATAAATGTCATCTAAGTGTTTAGGTGATGAAGCTAGTGCCAATACTGAAAAGATGCCCTAAAAAAGTAGGAACCTTGGGATGGAAATAAAATATAATATTACACTTCGAATAAAGTGAGGTAGCCACCAGAAAATGCCACCCTATTAACTAAAAATATATATAGATTTGTGCTCAGAAATCGTTCCTTCAACTTTATTCTCAATCTTATGAAAAAATGGGAATGAATTGTTACCTTTGAATTATTATACATTTTGGGAATATATTCCTTGCAGAAACTACTACTACCTTGTACTTACTAAATTGCAACTAAAATCTATGCACACGACATCTACAAACTACTTCAAAATGTCTAAAGGATATATGGTCTGATGTGTGTTAGTTTTTATAATCATCTAATAAGCTCCTTAAGGTTGCTTTGTCTTAGTTGTTCGGATATCCATTACTTAAAAGCTTGAAGTTAACCATGATAGATAAGGTTATCTCCTATTATCTCCCAAAGGATGCCATACGACATAGTCATCAAGAATTGTGCTAATGTCAGAATGACAAAGTTAGCATCTCAATTTTAAGCAATCTGTCTAAGGTTCAGTTAGAAATAGCATTATGTCTTTTTATCACATTTGTAAAAAGAGAATAATTTAGGTCATACTCTAAGTCATGTGAGGATTAAGGGATATAAGTATAAAGTGCTTAGAACAGTGTCTGAAGTGTAGGAAGTCCCCAGTACATTTTAACTCTAATGATACTTGTGTTTTCTTGCCATATACAGGTCAGAAAAACTTACACGTTTTAAAATTCCACAGTATTGAGTGATAAACTCCTATAAAGTGATAATTAAAAATACTAAGATAGTTCAGCTAAAGTTAGATGAAAAAAATAGGACTGCTACTTAACCACAAATATATTAGAAATACTTCAACTTTAGAGGTGCCAAGTTCAGACAAATTTTTGCTTTAATGAAAAAAAAAAAAAAAACAATTTAATGAAAAAAACCTGGTTCAAGATCTAGTATTCACTACTGCAGGAACATCATGATAATTTAAAAAACTTTAGTCTTTTCCCCTTTCCCTAACTCTCTAATTATGGATTTCCTATTCAAATTTCATACCTGCAGTAATGCCAGACCTTCTTCATTAGCTTTGCCTCGTGCCCTTTCCATATTCAGTAGCCTTGACACATTAGTTAAATCTTCCATCTTTTTGGGAGGGACTTTCAGGGTTTCACACAGTTGTAGCAATCTTCAGGATAAAATAAAAACGTAATTATTTTATTTTTTAAGTCTTATTATTATTTTAAAACAGTCCTCATTTTTTCTTGTCCTCATATTCTTAAAAGGTACAATATTCTTTTATTACCACTGGGTAACACTGCCAGTAAGTCTCCCCCTCAAAAAGCCCTGACAAATCATCATTTAGCCTTTCGATTTATTAAGATTTACCTCAAATTAAGGGACACTGGGGCTACTTTACTAAAAGAAAATTTTCTATTTTACACATTTGACAATGTATATACATTTTAAAACCAAAATTTCCTTGTACCATCCAGATGTTTTCTAGACTATTACAGGACATGAGTCTATTATATATTGTGAATTGTTGGTTAAGAGACAGAACGCTAGTCTAGAAGTCTTAACTATGACCCTGGACCCCAAATCTCAATTATTTTAGAGAATGTGATAAAAGACAGAGAAGATTTACCTTAGTTTTTTAAAATGATTTCAAAAAAACTAAGTTCTATAGAGTTTAAGGTAAATAAAACACTAAGATTAAAGTGCACTGCTCAAAAATACTATAAACATGAATGGTATTTAATATTAAAGTTTAAAAATTCCTTTATAAATTCGAGTTGATTTGATCACCAGTAGAAACATCTATTTCTATCGTCACATCTGGCAGACCGCAAAATAGCTTTCCCAGATTTGATTCTTGAATTTTATGAGGAAGAAAAGCTAAATTTGATTCCTTTTATAACAGCAGCATCTTTGCGTTCTAAAAAGTTCTACTACTTAAGATTTGAAGAAATCTGAACAATAGTGGAACCCACTGTCCTACTTTTGGGATCTTGTTAAAAATCTTAATTAAAAAAAAACAGAATCTTTTATTTTAGATTCAGGAGTACATATGCAGGTTATGCAGGCAAATGTTGTGGGGCTTTGGTGTATAGATTATTTTTTCACCCAGGTAATAAGCATAGTACCTGACAGATAGTTTCTCAACCCTCACTCTCCTCCCTCAAGTAGGCCCTGGTATCTGTTGTTCCCGTCTTTGTGTCCCTATGTACTCAATGTTTAGCTCCCACTTGTGAGAACATGCATTATGTGGTTTTCTGTTCCTGTGTTAGTTTGCTTAGGATAATGACCTCTAGCTCCAACCATGTTGCTGCAAAGGACATGATCTCATTCTTTTATGGCTGCATAGCATTCCAAGTTCTATATGTCCCACAATTTTCTTTATCTGATCTATCGCTGATGGGCATTTAGGTTGATTCCATGTCTTTGCAATTGTGAATAGTTCTGTGGTGAACGTAAGTGTGCATGTATCTTTATGGTAGAGCAATTTATATTCCTTCACGTATATACCCAGTAATGGGATTGCTGGGTTGGAGGGTAGTCTGTTTTAACTTGAGAATCTGCCAAACTGCTTTCCATAATGGTTGAACTGATTTACATTCCTACTAGCAGTTTAAAAGCATTCCCTTTTCTCGGCAACCTCCCAGCATCTGTTACTTTTTGACTTTTTAAGAACAGCCATTCTGACTGGTGTAAGATGGTATCTCATTGTGGTTTTCATTTGCATTTCTCTAGTAATTAGTGATGTTGAGAGCATTTTTTTTCACGTTTGTTGGCCGCATGTATGTTTTCTTTTGAAAAGTGTCTGCTCATGTCCTTTGCCCACTTTTTAATAGGATTATTGGTTTTTTGCTTGCTAATTTGTTTAAGTTCCTTATAGAGTCTTGATATAGACCTTTGTTCGATGCATAGTTTGCAAATAAAATTTTAATTTTTGTAAAGAAGAAAGTAGGCAGCAAAAACTCCACAAATCGTAATTCTCATTAAACTGTTAAGACAAAACTCCAGTTATTTAGAAAAATCGTCATTAGGCTATCACATTTAAACACAAACTATCTGCCTAAGCCTTCCTAAGAGGGATGTTTTTTATTTTCTTGACAAAAATATTTTATTTATCAAGTTTCTTCTATATGTTTATTAAATCAATTATGTAGAAGAGTCATTCACTGCTCCAAATGTTCTAAATAGCAGTTAGACTTCCAGGAGTCTCACTAACTCTTAGAAACTAAAACCATGGCTTGAATATATCCTACTATATCAGCAACATTTAATCACCACTTATAACATTGTTTCTATAGGGCAGACTTTCTAGAAGTATGTTCCTTTAGAATTGTAATGGTGAACAGTTTTGTTTGCCTAGCAAACTTGTCAGTGTAATCATGGGGCTAGGTATATAATCCAGTCTATATCAATGATATCCATGGTAGCTCTTGGCACAAAATCACGCCAAGAATAGATAAATATCACCTAAGCTCAACCAATTAGAAACCATCTCCTAGAATTTTCTAACTGAAGCTAAGGGGTAAGAATTGTCTTTTTCCTCTTTCTTTACAAGGCTAAAATGATATATATAGGTAGCTGCCTATCACTATAGTTGTAATCTAGTAAGAACTGAAAACTAAAAAAATGAAAATAATGAAGCTAATATTTAGTCAAAAGCAGAGATGAGCCTAATATATGAAAATGAGTTCCCAGAAATATCAATTTGGGAGTTGCTAGGTTAAAGAAAATGAAATAGATTTATTTACTGCAGGACTTCTTATATGCTAAGGTACCCAAATATAATTCACCATAGGTTATCTTTATCCATAGACTAACTGTAAGAACAAGTGTTTCAAATATACTTTTGAGAAACACTGCTACAGAAGAATGTATTTAGAGTTCCAATTATCAGTTTGCTAATGCTATACTTTGTTGTATTGGTATAAGTAACTGTATCTTGGGTATGGTTACTTCGGAACGAAAGAAAGCAAGCTGTGAAAGTAAAAATAAGGAAGAAATAGTCAGGCCTTGAAATGTATATCTCCATAGCTGCTACATGATGAAGAGACTGCCTATCTGTTGAATATAATCTTTTCCAGTGAACCAAGGTGATCACTATGAACAGCAACTATTATGTAATGTAATATTCTCATTCATACACTAAACATTAGTATTAGTCCTATATTAAAAAGATCCTAAACAGCTACATTTTCATTATGCTTGTATTAGCTTATTTATTATCTTTTTAATATCTTCCTCCTTCTTTAATAATAGGCTGCTATACCTTTAAGCAATTTACAAGCCTGCTTCTAGCAGTCTTTAATTTGTTCAACCTTTCTCAACAAACTCCCACCCCCACCAAAACCATCCCATTCACTCTTTCTACTTGGCTACTATGGGTTGAAAATTATATTTAAAGGAAAAGTAAATAGAATTTGTGCTCAAAGGAATTCCTTAAAAATAGGTCACAAACATTTCTAGGCAAACTTGAAACTGAGAAGCAGAACATTTTCTTATAAAAAGAAAAAGTCATGTAAATACTAGAGAAAAGTAATTACTGAAAATCACAGGCAGTGTTGTGCCTTTTAAGAACTCTTGAAAAGAAATCTCCATTGGTGATTTACCATAACATGAAGAGCAATAATATCTTAGAAAATTAGACTTGTTGCTCGTGCAAATAATTTAAGACAATATGAAGTGGAAAAACACAGCAATAGGGTAAATATCAGATAGATAAGACTGGTGAACTATTAACTTTAAATTATGAAAAATGAAGTTGAAGGGAGTTCAAGTTGACAAAACTGTTTTCAAATTCTGATACGGAGGAGTGAACTGTGGAAACAGAATTTTGTGATTTTCAGGGGTTTTTTTTTTTTTTTTTTTGTAAGTGCCCCTGAAACTTATTTGAGAAATACGTGCAGCAGCAGTTTAGAAAAAAAAGAAAACATATTTCCAAGTTGTTCACCTTCTTTACAAAAAAAGAAAAACTTACATTCCACCAAGTGTCTGTTTGGCAACACAGGAAGAAGTCAGGTTTTTAAAAATTTTGTTTTAATCATTTTAATTATGCAACAGTATTACCTGTTCTTCAGGAAGTTGAGATGGTATTGTATTTCTTCTTTATCTTTAATTCTGTTACTCAAAATTGTGCTAGAGAAGAAAAAAGATGGAATAAATAGTAGTCTGAAACACAAATAATAATATACTCTGTGTATTTTTTCTCTCTGATTTCTCTCAAGTGTCCCTCCCTACTAGCCAGGCAAAATCAATCACTTTTCCTTTCATATTAAAGACACTTTAAACAGAGGTACAATGAAAATTTCTACTTATATATATATATATATATAGCCACACTGTATTGTAATAATTTTTATGCCTGGCTCTTCTGATAGAATTCAGCTCCACATAGCAGAATTCTGTCTTATTTTCTCTGTATCCCCTCTAGTGTGGTAGCTTCTATGTAAAGTGTCACTCTGAACTCAACTTCTTCCTAAACCATCTCTATTGACATAAATTAAAATTTTATTGATAGCAAGTCAGGCCACAAACACTTGCTTTTATTTCATTGATAGAATTTCAAGTTTAAAAAATTAACAAAGACTTTTCTGCTGAAGGCAAATACCACCACATTAATTATATCCTTTTCCGAAATAGAAATATACTCTATTACCTTAAGATAGATAGCAATATTTAAAAGAACAGTATCCACAGGAAATGCCTAAGTGGGAACCAAAAGAATGAAATGGAAAAATTTTATACTCACCTTATTACTGATTCCATCATAGTTTGCAAATAGTCTCTGGTACTCTTTGACAGAGGTTGCCATGTTTTTCTCTTGTTGGGTGCTATCTTTATCTGTTTTAGGTTAGTGTGCTTTGTTTGTCCTGTCGTAATAGAAGAGGCTCTGATCAATCTAGGTGTTTTACATATTGTTGCTTAAAAACTGAATGTCTGCATCTAAAAAAGCTTATGAAATTATCAGAACAAAATATTATAAAGCTGTATAAACTGTTTAATTTACTTTTTATCACACAGCTATAACATCCCAGGTGTTGAATATGAATATGCTTTCTATTGATAAATTAAC